CCCTCTCCCCCTTTCTCCCTCTCTCCTTCTCCATTCCTTTCTCTCTCTAAAAATCAGTAAGTAAAGAAATAAAATAAAAGACTGTTTTGGTCAGTGTATATTTGGGAAAGATTTCTAGAAGTGGGATTGATGTTCATAAGAGTTGTGCTATTTTGCATGCCCATCTTAATGTATCAGATTATCTGTTTTAGACTTTGCCAATTGTATAATTGAGAAATTTAATTCAACTTTAATTGCATTTCTCTTAGCAAGGTTTAGCATCTTTTTCATATGTTTAAGAGTCATTTGCCTTTTTTTTTTCTGTGAACTCTTTATTTTTCTAACTCATTTTTAGGTAGGATTGTTGGCTTTTAAATCTATTTTTTAGAATTTATGTATTTGGAATATTAACAGTTTCACTGTTTGGACTTCTGTGTATTTGCTATACATAAGTTTCAATTAATTAAATCTGTCATTTTCCTTTGCCTGATTCTACAATAGGCAGAAATAATGTAGTCATGTAAAATAAGTTAAAGTTTTTAATTAAATATATTTGTAAAAATATACACTTAGTCCTTTGTAATTATGTGTTCCTCTTCTAGGCAAGGATAAAAGCCATCAATACGTTTTTTGCTAAGAATGGTTTTCGATTAATGGACTCTAGTATGTATAGTCAGCCCATTCAAACTCAAGCACAGTATGCCTCACCAGTCTTTATGCAGCCTGTATATAGTCCTCACCAACAGTACTCCATCTATAGTATTGTGCCTCAGTCTTGGTCTCCAAATCCTGCACCTTACTTTGAAACACCACTGGTAAGTGAGATCTTTACAGAATAATAAAATTTTTTCACTCAAGCTGAAATTTGAAGAAATCAGCTAGAGTGGGAGTTCATTTTTTGTTTTGTTGATTGTTTATTTTCTGTTTTTTAAGTAATGATGAGGATCTATAATATCCCATAGCAAATGTATGCATGTGACTAAATGTTTCTATAATTTTATTCTTTAGATTTCGCTGTGTGAATGAAAGTTAGAGACTGGATAAATCCATTGATTTAAATTGCTTTTAGTTTTGTGAAACTTACTCAAAGAAAAGTGTTCTTTATGAAGTAATGGACCAGTGATTTCTTGTTCTGTAATGTACTGCAAAAGTGAAAAAGTAAAATGTTTAAAATTATTTTGAGCTAGAAGAAATTGATGCTAGGTTAAGTCGTCAGAAATTTCTTATGACCTTCACATCAGATGCTGCCTTTACCATTAACTGTTTTTAAACATTAAAATTTTCTTTTAGGCTCCGTTTCCAAATAGTAGTTTTGTGAATGGCTTTAGTTCACCAGGATCTTATAAAACAACTGCTGCTGCTGTGAATATGGGTCGACCATTCCAAAAAAATCGGTAAGATAAAAATCTTGGCTGGAATTTATTGTAAGCAGTTCTCAGTAGTTCTTACAGAGTCACTGTGTTCATTGCAATGCTTATTTGCAGATTCAGTGGAAAGGAATTTTTTTGTTTTGCACAAAATATATGAGTGATTTAATCTAGAATTTATAAACACGCTTTGACCTCATGTTGATAATGGGATAAAAGGACTTGGGGCTGAGATGGTACATGCTGATTTTTTTTTTTAATAAAGGGAACAGGAAATGTTCTATGACAGCAACACAAAGTCCAGTGTGTAAGTGCCTTTAGTGTGTTAAAGAGGTAACACAAAGTGGTTCCCCCACTGCCCCAAGCACCCACCTAATCCCATATCCCTGTTATTTCGACATTATTGACTATATTCTTCTTGCTGCAATCTGCATATCTGTGAAAGCAATTTTAAAATATATATTGTTATTTTTTCATCACTATTTACTCCCCCTACCCTCTTATTCCTCCCCCCTCCCCAAAATACTGATTTGAGAGAGAGAGAGAGAGAGAGAGAGAGAGAGAGAAACATTGATGTGAGAGAGAGACATCAATTGGTTGCCTTCCATACACACCCCAACTGGGGATGAAACCCACAGTCTGGGTATGTGCCCTGACTGGGAATCAAACCCACCACCTCTAGGTGTACCTGACAATGTTCCAATTAACTGAGCCACACCAGCCAGAGCTAAAGTAACTTTTCTTTTTTTTTCTAAAGTAACTTTTAACTAATAACTTAAAGTACTGCCCAGCCCATGTGGTTCAGTGTTGAGCATCAACCTAGGAACCAAGAGATCACGGTTCAATTCCTGGTCAGGTCACATGCTCAGGTTGCAGGCTCTGTCTCCAGTGCATGAGGCAGCCAATTGATGATTCTGTCATTGATGTTTCTATCTCTCTATCTCTCTTCCTTCTTCTGTCTCTAAAAACCAATAAAAACATATAAAAATATAAAAGTACTGATGTTTGCAGATGCTTGATTTAAAAATACATTGTTTTCATGGTGTTCCTTTATTGTTACTTGTCTTTGTCTGCTGTGCTTTCTTGGTGAAGGGGGTAAGATTACAATAAAAAAGCCAAAAATGACAGTCAAATCATTTTGGCTTTAATGGAGGTGTACCTATGGTATTGAAAATACAGGGCAGATTTATTATAATTTTGCTTGTTACTCGAAACCATTTGGGTATAATTCTTTTCCATATGTTTGACCAATGCAGGTTGCTGTTAATTTTTAATTACAGAAATAGCACATGAATACTTTCTTATATAAATGCAAATATTACAGTAACGTGTTTTGACACGCCTCCCCCCCCCCCACCAAATCCTTATTTCTTTATATCTAAGAAGTGACCACTGCTAGACCTTTATTTATATCAGTCAAGGAGAAAGTAACGATATAGGGCCCTCATGCAGTTTATTATATTGTATTGGCCTTATAACAGCCCAGTGATGATCACTAGACCTACTTAGAGAAAATACAACTAACTTTCAGAAGTCGGGGCATTTTTCTACCTTTCATACTTTATCTTTCTGTCACTATACTTCTTCCTTTCTATCTTTTATCGCTTATTTCTTTCTTTTGCCCAGATTGAGATTGTTAGTCCCTCTCAGTGAAGGGTAAGATTATGAGATCTGAGGGCTGTTTAAACCTAACTTGTCCATTAGGTCTCTTGAAATGCAATGAGAAAATTGAAGTGAAAGTTTTTGAACAGGTAATGTAAATAGCGTAGCTACTTAATGGGGTCATTTTCAGATATGATGGATAATATAAATATATTGAAAATTACGTGTTAGTTGACATTATATTATTTTAATTGCGACTAAAAACCTGCTTTGTGACAGAAAGTATCTGGAAACGTATCATCTCACATTAAACTCAGCCCAACTCTATAGCCTGAGTTTTATCTTTAACCTAATTTTTTATGTTCCTTAACGAGTAAAGTAGGATAGCTGGAAATGCGGTTGTAATTAATGTATGAGGTTTTAAATCCCTATTCAGAGAGCCAGGAATTGACATTGTGTTATTAATATTATGAATTTGTAATTATGAAAATAGACTGGAAAAAAAATGGAGCATATAAACTGCAAGCAAGGGGCTAAATATAAGTCTTATACTCTCTTGTTTAATCTATAGAGCCAACAGTGGATAGAGTGTTGGCCTGTGGACTGAAAGGTCCCAGGTTCGATTCCAGTAAAGGGCACATGCCCAGGTTGTGGGCTCGATTCCCAGTAGGGGCTGTGCAGGAGACTGCCCATCAATAATTCTCTCATCATTGGTGTTTCTATCTGTCTCTCTGTCCTTTCTTCTCTGAAATCAATAAAAACATATTTTTAAAAAACCTATAGAGCCAAGATCCTCAGTTGCTTGAACTTAACTTTAGATGTTTTAACTATTGATTAAACTGCATCTTCTCTCCTTTACCATAGCTTCATCTGCTTATAAATTGTAAGAGTTGAGTGCCTATGCACATGATCCAAGATAAAAGTTACTTTTGTTAGAAGTAGCTTTCTTTGTTTTGTCTTGTTTTTACCAGATTTCATACCTTAATTCAATAGCCTAGTCATGTCAGGCTATTTAGTTGTATTATATCTTCCTAGTTATATTATATGTCCCACGTATGGATCGTTGAACAACAAATTTCATTTGGCAAGGGATACTTAGTAAGAAGGTGGGATTTTAATATATTCCTCCATTTTATTTTTTTTAAATGTCATTCCCTTAAAGAGCCTTTTTATACTTTTTTTCTGATTTTCCGTTATGAAAAAAATTTTTTTTAAGCTTTATTGATTTTTTTTTAAGGAGAGAGAGAGAGAGAGAGAGAGAGAGGATGTGAGAGAGGGAGAAAGACATAACAATATGAGAGCATCATATCAGTTGGCCGCCTCTTGCAAGCCCCTCCTGGGGATCGAGCCCACAACCTGAGCATGTGCACAGACCGTGACTCGAACCAGCAACCTTTTAAAAAATTATTGATTTTAGAGAGAGGAAGGGAGAGGAGGAGAAACATTGATTGCCTGCCTTCTGCATACCCTCTACTGGGGAAGGATCAAACCTACAACCCAGGCATGCACCCAACTTGGAATCAAACCAGCAGCTTCCTGGTACATGGGACGACGCTCAAACAACTGAGCCATACCAGTTAGGGCTCTCCCTATGAAAATTTAATACTGGAGATTATGTATGTATGTCTGTACTTTATACATAAAATTAATAAGAAATTAATAAGGTAGAGGCTTGACACAGATTCATTAATAAGCTTAAAGCCTGGCTGATTTACATGTGTCAAGACTGCAGCTTATGTTAAAGAAAGAAGCTAAAATCATAGTTTTAGCCTGAGTATCTCAAAGAACTTTGGATTTTCCCCCAAATGTCTTTTAACAACTTTTTAATGTAAAAGTTCTTTGCCTGTTAAAAATAATATATCTAGGACATAAAAGGGTTTACATTTTTATAAAACAATTTTATGTTTAACTTAATTAATGGAAAACAGGAAACAGCAAAAAGCAGTTTTTAACTTGGCCTATTAAGAGTTTCTACCATTAAGAAGAAAGATGTTCTGTCTGTCTTGATTTATCCTCTCATATATGTGATCATTATTTCTCATAGCGTGAAGCCCCATTTTAGGGCATCAAGTGGTTCAGAACACTCAACAGAGGGATCTGTGTCATTGGGGGATGGACCAGTAAACAGATCTGGTTCAAGGAACTTTCCAACTGAACGGCATAACCCTATAGTAACAGGACATCAGGAGCAAAGCTACCTTCCAAAAGAGACTCCAACTTTGCCGATTGAACAGAATGGGGATTATGGTAGGGGCAGGTAAGTGAATATGGTAATAAATCTGGAAGGAAATAAGGTATATGAAACTCCTTTTATCATAATGTGAATATTTGGAAACCATGATCTAGTGTTAAGTAAATACATTTTTACATAATAGTTTTTCATAATTATTAAGAAATTTAGAGTGTTTATATAGAATGTAACTGAGTCAGATTTATGAAAATTATTATGAAGTTCACAAAGAATGATTTAGAAAGATAAAATCCCATCTGCATTATAGTTTTAATTTCCCACAACTAACTGGTTGATTGATTGATTGATTGATTGATTTTAGAGAGGAATGGAGTGAGAGATTTGTTGATCCACTTATTTATGCATTCATTGGTTGCTTCTTGTATGTGCCCTCATGGGATTGAACCCCCCAACCTTGGCGTATCAGAGCAGTGCTGTAAAACCAACTTAGCTACCCGGCCAGAGCTAATTTCTTACAACTTCTAAACTAAGGGAATGTGGTTATATATAACCTAACTTGCCTGAAAAAAACATAACTGAACCCTAATCTGCTCCTGGTGTGGAGAGAGTGCTTCTAATAAAAATGTGCATAGCTTACTTCATGGTGGTGGTGGTGATCCTAGTTGAAGTTTTTGGTAGATTTGCGCAGGATCCCTTCAGAAGAATACATATTTATCCTATATAATAAAAGCCTAATATACTAAGTGTCCAGTCGTCCGGTCAGCCATTCAACCAATCAAAGCGTAATATGCTAAGGCTTCTCAACCACTCACTATGACGTGCACTGACCACCAGGGGGCAGATGCTCTGACTGGTAGGTTAGCTTGCTGCTGGGGTCTGGCTGATTGGGACTGAGCGAGACTGGCTGGACACGCCTAGGAGCCCTCCCGGGGTCCCTCCCCAGCTGGCCAACCTCTCTGGCCCTGATTATGCACCGGTGGGGTCCCTCGGCCTGGCCTGTGCCCTCTCACAATCCAGGCTGAGGGACACACCACCCCCCACCCCCACCCCTGCTGAGTGCATGAATTTCGTGCACCGGGCCTCTAGTCTTTAATAATAATGGAAATTTAGATGTATAGATAATTAAAATAGAAATACACTCATTTTTATGAAATGTATAAATTTGAAGAAACTTAAGAGTTCTCCCTCCCACCACCCTTCTTTTTTGTTTTGTTAAAAGGAGAACTCTTTTCAGAGGTCGAAGACGACGAGAAGATGACAGAATCCCAGTAAGTATTTTTTTACTTTTAATTACTGCTGTTAATTTTTCTTTTCTTTTGTGATTTACTATGGCATTGACTTGTGATCTACCTTGGCTTTTAGGTTTCTACTTGATTGATTTTTTAAAAAAATATTATTGATTTCAGAGAGGAAGGGAGGGAGAGAGAGACAGAAAGAAACATCAGTGATGAGAGAGAACCGTTGATTGGCTGCCTCCTGCACGTCCCCCCTTGGGGATTGAGCCCATAATCCGGGCATGTGCCTTTGACCGGAATCAAACCTGGGACCCTTCAGTTCGCAGGCTGACGCTCTATCCACTGAGCCAAACCGGCTAGGGCAGTGGTCAGCAAACTGCGGCTTGCGAGCCACATGCGGCTCTTTGGCCCCTTGAGTGTGGCTCTTCCACAAAATACCGACTTCTGCACGTGGGCCACGAAGTTTCAATCGCACTGTATGTGTGCGCCCGCACGTGGTATTTTGTGGAAGAGCCACACTCAAGGGGCCAAAGAGCTGCATGTGGCTCTCGAGCCGCAGTTTGCCGACCACTGGGCTAGGGCTACTTGATCGATGATAGTATGCAGCAAAAGGTATGCAGCCTGTGCTTGACCCTGAAATATATACCATTATCACGCTCCCTCCACCCTTAAAGTGCACATATAGTTAGGGATTTGACCTGTGTTTCTCACTTTCTTAAAAAATTACTTGAGTATCTAATATTTTCACATGGTTTAAAAATAAAAAATATGAAAATATTCTATGAAAAGATTAACTCTTACTTTACTAACAGACATTTAAGCAGTTTGAATCTTCTGATTGTATATAAGTGCTATTACAAACAGTGCAATGATAACCTCATACAATTATCGTTTCCTATGTATGCAGTATCTGAAGGAGAATCTCTAGAAGTGGGATTTCTGGGTCACAATTAATAAGTTGCTGCTAAGTAGTTTTCTATAGGGGTTGTGCTGATTTTCATTCCTGTTTATCCATAGCCTTACAGAGGACATGATTTTATTTTATTTTTTTAAAGAATGGTTTATTAATCACTAGAGAGGAAGGGAGAGAGAGACATCGATGTGAGAGTACAACATCGATCAGCTTGCCTTCTGCACGCCCCCCACCAGGGATTGAGCCCACAACTCAGGCATGTGCTCTGACCAGGAATCGAACAGTTAACCTTTTTGGTGCATGGGACGACGCTCAACCAACAGCCACACCAGTCAGGGCAGGATATGATTTTTTGCCAATCTGATAAAGCATATCATTCATTTTTAAAGCTCTGTTGGATGGTGTTAGAAACTGTTATGCTGTTTATTAATTGTTCGGAGTCAATTTTCTACCTGCTGTTAATTCTTATATCCACTAATCTTATAAAATCTCTTAAAGAAAAATGTTTATAGCTAAGGCCTAATGTTCTTATTTGAATCTTAATGCCTCAGATTATTCATATTTTGATTTTTTGTGTGTGTTGTTTGTTCATAGTGACTACTTACCATTTCTTAACTGGGCCCAAAAAGTGTTGAGGAATAAAAATGATGTAGGAAGATATAGAGGTCTCAAGAAAACTCTGTCTAGAATTTACAGATATATCATAAATGTGTAATAAAATGCTTATTTTACATGTATAAGTAGTGAATTGTATACATATATAAGTAGTATACATATAGCTTACTGTTGGTTGTACATATAAGTTACACATACACCACATTTATAAAGTATTAAAAACATACACATTTTCAAAGAAGAAAATGTATTGCGTTATAACAAAGAATAGTCCTTAGGGCAAACTATGAACCCTTTAAAACAGTGTTGTTTTTTCCATTTATAGCTTTCTATACTATGGGCAGCCATGAGATTTTAGGCAACAACTATTTAAAGATACCATTGAAGCAGTTACATCCTCAAGTGGCCCTGAACAGTTGAGGAGAGGAGAAATTAGGTTTGAGGTCTGTTTAACATGTTAAAAAATGTCTGGATTGAGGACTGAAGGTTGAGATGAAGAAAAAGGAGACAGGCATGTTTTCCAGTAGGAAGGGCAGGAGTGAGGTGCCCTTGTGCAGGAGGGCGATGTTAGCTAGAGATGAAATTTAGGATTTGTAAACTTACTCATAGTAACTGAAGTTATATGAGTAGATGAGGTCATGGCAGGGGACTCTCTGTATAGTGAGTGATTTTTTTAAAAAGGGTCAAGATTGGAACCTTGGGGAACATAGTGGCTTTGGATTGAAAAATGAGATTGTTCATCATGTTGTTTGAAGTATCCAAGTAAAGTCTGAGTGGCAATGGCTGATAGGCAGGCAAATGGATATCTGGGTTTCAGGTGAATGTCTGGGCTGAAAATAAAGTGTACAACTCAGTGATTTTTGGTATATTTTCAGAGTTGTGCAGCCGAAAGTTACCAAAAAGTGAAAAATTGTTTTAAGGATTGTTTGCATGTAGATAATAGTTAAAGTCATGAATAAAGGGTATCATCACACAGGGAAAGTATGGAATATGGAAAATGAGAAGTAATGACTGTATAGAAACCAAAAACCATCAAAAGAAGTAGGCAGGCAGAGAACAGCACATGATTATCAGATCTGTGCATCAAGAGAAAGGTGTGTCACAGAAGCTAAGGGAGAAATGAGCTCCCAAAGGAAAGAATGTTTACCATGCCAAATGCTATAGTGAGGTCATGGAAAAAAGTCTTCCAGCTTTTGCATTGTGGAAGGCATTGGTGACTTGTCAAAGCAGTGGTATGATGAGTACAGAGGTGAGGAAGTAGAGGAGGGAGGTACAAGTGAGAGGTTTGTCAGGATATAGAGTGGTTAGGGGGAAAGAGACAGATGAGATTTTCAAGGAAGGATATTGTTCTCTCTTGAGACTATGGAAGGGTGAATGATGATGGCAAATTTATGTGAGGTAGGGTTTTTTTTTTGTTAGAAAAGGAGGTATAGCTAATTTAGAAAGCAAAGAATAGTGGAGATTGATGAGAAAAGGCTTAGGAGTGTGGCAAAGTTTGCAAAATAAACAAGAGAGGGAGCTAACTAAAGGTATGGAGGACTGATAGACTATGAGAGCTCATGTTCTCTTCAGCAGCACATACACTAAAATTTGAACAATGTAGAGAAGAATTACATAGCCCTGTGGAAGGATGACTTGCAAATTTGTGAAGCATGCCATATTAAAAAAAAAAAAAAAGAAGACTAATAAGAGCTCAATTGAGATGAGAAGCCAAAAATTTATAGGGAAACAATTCTGTACATTAGGGTAGAGTTTGTTTTTTGAAGTTTCAGCTTCTGTGGTACAGGGTTAGAGAATAAGGTAGTCATATGACCTGTTTTATGATTTGTGTCTTTTAGAGACCCCAACCTTCAACACCTGAAGCAAAGGCTCCAACACCAAAGTTTGACTTATTAGCCTCAAATTTTCCTCCTTTACCTGGAAGTTCATCAAGAACACCAGGTGAACTTGTTTTGGAGAGTAGGATGTCTGATGTTGTTAAAGGTGTCTGCAAAGAAAAGGTAAACACTGAAACATCCAATCTTCTACCTTTTGGGGACTATATATTAGCCTATGTTTTAAGTTATTTAGGTTTTTGTTCTTAATAAGTATTTCTAATATAGTTTTAATTCAGGGGATTGTCAGTATACATTGAGTATTATAAAAAGATTTATGATAGTCCTGTGGCCACGTGGCTCAGTTGGTTGGAGCATCGTCGTCCCCTACGTCCAGTACATCAAAAGGTTGCAAGTTCGATTCCTCCTCAAGGCACATACCTAGGTTGCGGTAGGGGAAGCAACTGATCAGTGTTTCTCCCTCTCTCTATCTCTGTCTCTCTCCGTTCTTCTCTATCTAAAATCAGTTAAAAAAATACCCTCAGGTGAGGATTTTTAAAAAACTAAGAAAAATATTTATGATAAAGCTACAAATAAAATATTTTGTCATTTTTACATGTCTTTGTCAGTCACTCAGCTTGATAGAACTGATTAATGCAAGCCAAATGGAAAGTGTCATTTCCACTTAAGTGCCTATAATTAACCAATGATATAAATGAGAATTTTAAGCTAGTTTGGTAAACTCAGTTTTTAAATAATGGAGAGTGGATATCAAAATGTTAGGATACCTCATCCTATAATATTTTTGAGTTAGACCTCTTAATATGGTAAATTCCCATTCCCCACAGAATTTTCTCATGTTCTACCCTTTTTTTTTCTAATTCTATTGTTATTTTAATAGTACATGTACACAGTATACCTAGGCTTGTAATGGAAATAGTACCCTGCAACCACCTTCAACTCTAGCTTTTCTCTTGACATTTGTTCCTGTATTTCTAAGGAAAGCCAAAACAAGCAAATGTACTTGGTTATACTGCTATTTTTTTTACCTTTCAGTTATAGACACCTATTAACTTTACATTCTAGAAGCTAAGTACTTAGCTCTCTTAAAGCAACATATTCTTCTCATCCTCCCAGTAGATTTTACTTTATCATATCTAGGATACCATCAATTATAAGATGCCCCATTATTTTATTTAAAATTTAATTAATTAATTTCATTTTTTTGTTAATCTTCACCCAATGCTATTTTCCCACTGATTTTTAGAGAGAGCAGAAGGGAGTGGAGAGAGACAGAGAGAAACATCAATATAAGAGAGACACATCGATTGGTTGCCTGCCACACGGGCCCCAACCAAGTCCAGGGATTGAGCCTGCAACCGAGGTGTGTGCCCTTGACTACAATCGAACCTGTCCGTGGCTGATGCTCTATCCACTGAGTCAAACTAGCTCGGGCTATGCCCCATTATTTTAGTATCACTAAGAAAAAAATTATTGCCAGTTAGAGTAGGATATGCCATCATTGTAAGTCACATCTCAGTATTACATAACTTTTTCCTAACAGCCTCATAGTATACTGTTATTATTTTTCCTTTTTTATATTCTCCATGGCCTGCTGCACAGCTATGTTCCTGGGACGTCTCTTCACTATCAATCCTGGGAATTTTCCTTACTCTACTTGGTTAGATCCCCCCTTTTTCTTGCTCTTGTTTTACTTTCCCATATTATGGTGAGTCACATCTTCCCAAGCTTCCTGAATAAAGGGCTTTTAGTATAAATTTGTAGAGATCTTGCATTCTGAAAATTTTTTGATGTTCTCACACTTGATCAGTAGCATATCTAGTAGAATTCATTCTACTATTGATGGACATTTGAGCTGTGTTTTCTTTGAAATTTTGAAGATACTTTATTGCCTTTTTTTTAAAAGTGCAGTATTGTAGTTATTTTGTCACTTCTAAGATTCATATATTTCTTCACCTTTGAAAATCAGGCTGTCTTTTTTTTTTCTTTATTGTTGAATGTATTACATATGTCCCCCCTTTTCCCCATTGACCCCCTCCAGTCCATCCCTCACCCAAGTCTTCATCATCCCATTGTCTGTGTCCTTGGGTTACACATATATGTATTCTTTTGTTACTTCTTCCCTTCTGTGTTGTATGAAATATATTGCTGTTGATGTAGGCGACTATTTTATTTTGAGCTATTGTGTAAGAATATAACATTCATTTTACCATTGATGGACTAATGTTTTTTGTCGGTTCATTATTATAAGCAATACTGCTATGAATCTTCAAACTTTCTGTTCATGTGAGCAAGAACATTTCTAAGGTATAATTGCTGAGTGATAGGGCTTTTTTTTTTTTTTTTTAATCGGTAACATTTTTTTTTAAATATATATTTGATTGGTATTTTACAGCGAGGAAGGGAGAGGGATAGAGAGCCAGAAACATCGATGAGAGAGAAGCATCGATCAGCTGCCTCCTGCACACCCCCTCCTGGGGGGATGTGCCCGCAACCCAGGTACATGCCCTTGACCGGAATCGAACCTGGGACCCTTCAGTCCCCAGGCCGACGCTCTATCTAGTGAGCCAAACCGGCCAGGACAGTGATAGGGCTTTTTAAAATTTGAATGACTCTTGAGGTTAAATTACTTTTTTTTTTTTTTTAATCCTCACCCAAGGGTATTTTTTCCATTGATTTCTAAAGGGGGAGTGGGGGAGAGAGAGAGACTCACCTCTACTGGGACTGGGGAACCTGCAAACGAGGTGCCCTTGCCTGTGCCCTTAACCGGGAATTGAACCTGTGACCCATGGGCCAATGCTCTAACCACTGAGAAACTGGCCACAGCTAAATTATCATTTTTATGTTTATTGGCCATTTGAGTCTCTTTTATAAAAAGAGTTTTTTAAATATTTTGGCACATTAAATTGGGTTATCTCTTATCTTACAGATTCATGGAATTTAAACAGTATTCTGGATACTAATTCTTTGTCAGTTATGTATATCACTAATGGTTTATTTTCAGTCTTATGTATTTGTGGGTAAAAAACAGGTTCTTAATTTTAATATGGTTATATTTGGCAGTATTTCCTTTGTAGTTTTTTTTTCTTTTTAGCTTAGGAAATAATCTAGCTTCCAGAGGTTCATGTCAGAAACTGTGGTTTATTTGTTTTTTTAAAATATTTTTATTGATTTTAGAGAGGAAGAGAGAGGGAGAGATAGATACATCAATGATGAGAGAGAATCACTGATTGGCTGCCTCCTGCACTCCCCTCATTGATCCGGTAACCCAAGCATGTGTTCTGACTGGGAATCGAATCGTGACCTCCTGGTTCATAGGTCAGCGCTCAACCACTGAGCCACTGCAACCAGGCTAGAAACTATGGTTTTGATCCCTCATTCTCCCAATGACGTGTATCTTTCCACCCATCCCACCCCACCGGAGGCTTTTAGGATATTTTATTTATTCCTGGTATTCTGTGAAATTTCATGATGATGTATCTTGCTATGACTCTCTTTGTTTTGTTTGGTTTTAATCATTGTACTGGATACCTTGATGGGATTTTTAAATCTGGAAACTCATGACCTTCCATGTGGGATGAATTTCCCGAACTTCTCTTTGATAAATCCTTCACCTCTTTTCTTCTCTTTTTCTGGAACTCTTAATTTGATATTGGACCTTGGTTTGCTTGTTTTGGCTTTCCTAATTTTGAGTTTTGTACTTGTCTTATTTTTCTTGTTTTAATTCTGGTAAAATACACATAACATAAATTTACCATCTTAACCATTGTTAAGTGTGTGCAGCTCAGTTGTGCTAAATACATTCACGTTGTTGTGCAATCAATCTCCAGAACTCTTTTAGTCTTAGAAAGCTAAAATACTACCAGTAAACAATAAATCCCATTCTCCCTTCCCGCTGCCCCTGGCAATCATCATTCTACTTTGTCTCTATAACTGACTATTTTAGTTGCCTCATATAAATAGAATCATAGAGTATTTTGTCTTTTTGTGGCTAGCTTATTTCACTTGGCATGATGTCCTCAAGATTCATCCATTGTTGTGGCATGTGTCCTTTATTCCTTTCATTGCACAGTAACATTGCATTGTATGAATATATAGTAGCCACCCCCCCCATCTGTAATTTTGCTTTCCATGGTTTCAGTTACCACAATTTAAAACTATTAAATGGAAAATTCCAAAAATTAACAATGCATAAATTTTAATTGAAGATTTTTAAGTGGATTTTTAGAGAGAGATAGAGGGGGGGAGAGATAGAAACATCAATGTGATAACAACAAATCAATCCGCTGCCTCCTGCACACCTGCTATCAGGGATCAAGCCTGCAACCTAAGCATGTGCCCTGACCAGGAATTGAACCTACTACCCCTTGGTTCACAGGATGATACCCAACCAACTGAGCCACACCAGACAGGCAACAATTCTTAAGTTTCAAATTTCATGCCCTTCTGAGAAGCGCGCTTGGTATGTGAATCATTGTCAGGTGTATCCACAGTATATATACTATCCAGCCTTTAGTCTCTCTCAGTTATCTGGTCACATGTCACTATAGTACAGTGCTTGTGTGCAAGAAACTCTTATTTTACATAATAGTGGCCCCAGAGCATAAGAGTAGTGATGCTGGTGATTTGTATATGCCAAAGAAAAGATGTAGAGTCTTCCTTTAAGTGAAATGGTAAGTGCTGTACAATAAGATATTTTGAGAAAGAGAGACGACAGACCACATTCACAAAACCTTTATTACAGTACTAGAGGCCCGGTGCACGAATTCATGCACAGGTGGGGCCCCTCTGGGTTGCCTGCAGGGATTGGCCTGAAACCTGCAGTCCAACGAAACCTGTAGTCCTACACTGCCTGCAGCTCCTACCTGCTGCTCCTGCTCATCCCGGGCCCCACTGCACCTGCTGAGGGCTCGCGCCCAATTAGTCCCAATCAAGAGAGGCTCGAGCTGTCACAGCAGTGCTCACCAGCTGTGAGCCCTGCATCTGGCGCCCTCCAGAGAGGAGTGACCTGCAGGATCAGGCTGAAACCGGCTCTCTGACATCCCTCAAGGGGTCCCGGATTGCGAGAGGGCACAGGCCAGGCTGAGGGACCCCACCAGTGCACAATCGGTCTGGGGAGGGACTGCAGGAGGGCTCCAGGGCTTGTCCAACCCATCTCACTCAGTCCTGATCTGCCTGACCACAGCAGCAAGCTAACCTACCAGTCAGAGCGTCTGCCCCCTGATGGTCAGTGCACATCATAGAGCCATTGAGCGGCCTTAGCATGTAATTAGCATATTATACTTTGATTGAACAGTCGACCGGTCACCGGAGGACCGGACACTTAGCATATTAGGCTTTTATTATATAGGATATTGTTGTAATTTTCTGTTTTTGTTTTTTGTTTTTGTTACTAGAGGCCCAGTGCACGAGATTCGTGCACTGGCGGGGGCGGGGGAAGGCAGGGTCCCCTAGCCCAGCCTGCATCCTCTCGCAGTCCAGGACCCCTTGGGGGATGTCCACCTGCTGGCTTAGGCTGGATCCCTAGGAGGCAGTCAGACATCCCTCTTGCAGTATGGGGCTCTCGCAGTCTGGGACCTCTCGCTCCTTACCGCCCGCCTGCAGCGGGGGCAGGAGAGGTTCCCACCACCACTGCTGCGCTCCCCAGCTGTGAGCCTGGCTTCTGGCTGAGCAGCGTCTCCCCTGTGGGAGCACACAGACCACCAGGGAGCAGCTCCTGCGTTGAGCGTCTGCCCCTTGGTTGTCAGTGCACGTCATAGCGACTAGACATTCGCCTTTTGGTTTATTTGCATTTTATGCTTTTAGTATATAGGATTAATGTATTTCTGAGCTTAATTTATAAATTAAACTTTATCATAGATATAGATATGTATGTATAGGAAAAATTGGGGTTCTGGGAACATATTACCTATTGATAAGGGAGGGACTACTGTTCCACATTTTGTTTATCTGTTCACCAGTTGATGAACATTTGTGTTGTTCTCACTTTTTTGGCTATTAGGAATAATGCTACTATGAACATTTTTGCTTAAATTTTTTGCAGACATGCTTTCTCTTGGGTACGTACCCAAGAGTGAATTATGGTAACTCTAACTTTTTGAGGAACTGCCTCACTATTTTCCAAAGTGGCTGCACCATTTTACATTGCCACTCTCTATGTATGAGGGTTCCAATATCTCCATATCACTAACTTTTGTTATTGCCTCTCTTACTGATTATAGCCATCCTAGTGAGTATGTAGTGGTTTCTTGTTGTGGTTTTGATTTGCATTTCCCTAATGACTAATGATGTTGAACATCTTTTCATATATTCTTGTTGGCCATTTATATATCTTATTTGGAGAAATGACTCTATAAGTCTAATTTTAAATTTTTATTGTTTAATTATAATTGACATTCAATATTATATTAGTTTCAAATGTACAACATAGTAGTTAGACATCTATATAACTTGCTAAGTCAGTTGTTCTCAACCTTGGTTGCACATTAGAATCACCTGGGAATCTTTTTAAAATCCTGATTTCTGGGCCTCATCCTCTGGAAATTCTGTTTCTTTGTTATGGGGTGGGGCGCCCCACCCCATAACAAAGAAACAGAATTTCCAGAGGATGAGGCCCAGAAATCAGGATTTTAAAAAGATTCCCAGGTAATTCTAATGTGCAGCCAAGGTTGAGAACCACTGCAATAACCCATTTCTCTCCTGTCCCTTTAGCCCTAGGACAGTGATGGTGAACCTTTTGAGCTCGGCATGTCAGCATTTTGGAAAACCCTAACTTAACTCTGGTGCCGTGTCACATATAGAAATTTTTTGATATTTGCAACCATAGTAAAACAAAGACTTATATTTTTGATATTTATTTTATATATTTAAATGCCATTTAACAAAGAAAAATCAACCAAAAAAATGAGTTCGCGGGTCACCTCTGACACGCGTGTCATAGTTTCGCCATCAGTGGTCTAGTACCTACCTGACACATAATTATTGACTACATTTCCTATTGACTACATTCCCATGCTGTATTTTACTATAAATGTAATTTTGAAATATGTTTTCACTTTAAGGATAATGAAGAGTTAAGACAAGGGGATAGTTGCCCAGTGCCTGCAGAGGATGAACAGACCGACTGCACCGCTGCCCAGCAACTCAACACAAGTACCGGTCCTTCGTGTACAGCTGAGCCTCTTTCATTGAGGTACAGGTTTTGATATGGAAAGATCTTCCACATTAAGATTACTTTTTCTTCTGATCATTTGCTCACCTGTTTCTGTGTACTATACTAAATCTAATGTAAAATTCTTTTTTTCTTAGCACAACTCATATAGAAAAGGATATAGTGGAGGATTCCACTGTTCAGAAGGATGTTCTCAACTCGACAACTGTATCAGTTTCTTCCCCAAATCCTGCAAAGCCATCAGGGACAAATACTGCTTCACCATGTGATAATAACGTAAATGCAGCTGTAACTGTGGCCCTACAGGTAACTTGGTGAATTTAGTTTATGTGAGAAAAATATCATCGGTTTAATAATGAGCATTCTCACCCCCACCCCCACGCCCCATAACTCTTTGCTGTAGCAGAGTCATTTGGAAATAGCCCAAATTGGGGTTGCCTACATCCTGCCAAAAAGCTAAAGGACTTTAAAGTCACTGTGAAGAAATGGCGAATTTTAGTCATGTTGAGGGAGTGAAAAAGTTACTATTCATTCTGTTTCTTTTGATTGCTTTTTTCTGATCATATTATAGTTAAGTGAAACTTCTTTCTTGTCTATGTTATGTTGTATGAATCATTTTTGGGTTAGCATAAAGAGGCTTTGAGCCTCTTGGACTGTGTGTGTGTGTGTGTGTGTGATGCTTAACAAGTCTGTGGAACCCATGAGGGAATGCTAGTTTTTATTCAATTTCCAGAATCATTTTTATAATTAGGGAAATACAGAAAAGCAGAGGTGGGGGTGGGGGATGGGGGAGAAACCACAAAATTTACCTATAATCCTTTCATTTTATGTGTGTATGTATGTATGTATTATTGTTATTATTATTTTTTATTTTAGAGAGAGAGGAAGGGAGAGGGAGAGAGATAGAAACATCAACTGGCTGCTTCCTGCGTGCCCCCACTGGGGATTGAGCTCCCAATCCAGGCATGTGCCCTGATCAGGAATCGAACCGGCATCCTCTTGGTGCATGGGATGATGCTCAACCAACTGAGCCATACCAGCCAGGCCTTTTATTTATTGATATAGCTAGTAGTATTTTGGTATAGGTATTTCTTTTTTCTAGGTTAAGAACATTTTATCCCTGGCCTGGTAGCTTAGTTGGTTGGAGCATCGTCCCGATAATGCCAAGGTTGTGGGTTCAATCCCCAGTCAGGGCATATACATGAATCAACCAATGAGTGCATAAATAAGTAGAACAATAAGTCAGTTTGTGTCTCTGTTTCTCTCTCTCAAATCAATCAATAAATTTTTTTAAGGAATATTTTATCTTGTGATTTAATAATATAATCCTATCTAATAAAAGAGAAACATGCAAATTAGCTGTCCCTCTGCTACGCTCACAAGTCATGCCCACCAGCCAATGAGAAGCGAGTATGCAAATTAACCCAACAAAGATGGCGGGTAATTTGCATACACAGCAGAGTGGGAGAGATGGCAGCTTGGGGGGACGTGGCTCCCTCGGTCACTGGACGGAGAGCAGAGCAAGAGAGCCGGAGGCTTGGGGGGACGTGGCTCCCTTGGTCAGTTGGGGAAAACCCAGAGCCCCAGAGTGTGGGGAGCACCAGGAAGTCTGGGAATAGTAGTTTTGGTGGCAGCCCCAGGACCGGAAGCGGAAGCCCAGAGTGCGGGGAGCACCAGGAATGCTAGGAATCGTAGTTCTGTTGGCAGACTGATCTCCTAGACCAGTGGTTCTCAACCTTCCTAATGCTGCAACCCTTTAATACAGTTCCTCATGTTGTGACCCAACCATAAAACTCTTTTTGTTGCTACTTCATAACTGTAATGTTGCTACTGTTATGAATCATAATGTAAATATCTGATATGCAGGATGTATTTTCATTGTTAGAAATTGAACATAAAGCATAGTGATTAATCACAAAAACAATAGGTAATTATATATGTGTTTTCCGATGGTCTTAGGCGACCCCTGTGAAAGGGTCGTTGGACCCCCAAAAGGGTCGCGACCAACAGGTTGGTGACCCACAGGTTGAGAACCGCTGCGCTAGAGCAAAGTAAGCCTGGAGCAAACTATTGCGGCGGTTGGGGATGGAGGGAAAGCAAAGGTGAGAGACATAAGTAAAATCAGAGTGTCTAGGAAAAATTAAAGGGAAGATATCCTAAAACTTTCAGGAAATCTCTACCAATGGAGCAAAGAAAAAAAAAAGCCTCTATTATTCTGTGAGCAACAAACCAAACTGGGTTTTGGGTCTCAGACAATTCGCTCATATGATTGCAAAGACAGAAACTCCCGGATTGGAGAGGGCTCTCCTGAGGGTTCCCAGATTGGAAAGGGTGCATGTCGGGCTGAGGGACCCCCCCACCCCCACCCCAGTGCACCGGACCCCTAGTAATAATAATAATAACAACAAGCCCAGCTGGTATGACTCAGTTGGTTGAGTTCGGTCCATGCACCAGGAGGTTGTAGGTTTGATTCCTGGTCAGGGCACATGCCGGGTTTGCAGGCTCGATCCCCAGGGGATGTGCAGAAGGCAGCCAGTTGATGTTTCTGTATCCTTTCCCTTCCTCTCTCTGAGGTCAATAAAAACATTTAAAGTAATAAGAGTAGTAATAATAGAATAGCAGCTAGCAAGTATTGAATACCTACTATCCTATTTTCACAACACCCCTGTTGGCCTACTTTTTCAGATAAAATAATTAAGACTTTTAATTAGTCTTTCACTAATATATGATTGGTGTACAACTGCTCTGCAGAAATTCTTATAGAATCCCGCCTAGTGTTCTTTGTACCAAGGGAAAAGAGAATGAAACCATTTTATTTCATTATATGGATGGACTATTAATTTAATCTGTCCTTGTTAGACATTTAGGTTGTTTCCAGTTTTTTTTCCCATTACTATAAACATGCTAACATATGAGAATTCAGATAAATTCCTCAAGTGAATTTATTGTTTCATACATAAATTGCAGCAGTTTTTATTATTTTCAACAAATGTACTTTTCTTTTTTTGCCCTCTAGGATATGTTTATTGATTTGGGGTAGGGGGGTAGGGAAGAGAGTGACATTGATGTGAGAGAGAAACATTGATTGGTGGCCTCCCATACACACCCTGACTGGGGATTGAACCCGTGACCTAGGTATGTGTCTTAACCGGGAATTGAACCCGCAACCTTTTTGGTGTAGGGGACAACACTCCAACAAAGGTGCCACCCAGCCAGGGCCACAAAAGTACTTTCTTAAAAAGATTGTACTGGCCCTGGTTGGGTAGCTCAGTTAGTTAGAGCATCGATTACCCTTTCTTAGAAAATAACTTACTGATTTTCTTGTGGTCAGTACTATCCTTTTTGTACTTTATTACTTAGGGAATGTACACCATAAAAATGTTTTGTTTTTCTCCCCTTCCAAGGAACCCCGAAAGCTAAGTTATGCTGAAGTGTGCCAGAAGCCCCCTAAAGAGCCATCTCCAATTCCTGTGCAGCCACTACGAGAACTTCGCTCCAATGTAGTGTCTCCCACCAAAATGAAGAGAAATGGAGCTCCTGAGAAGTCCATTGAGAAACCACATGAGAAGCCAGAAGCAAGGGCTAGTAAGGATTATTCTGGCTTCCGAGGCAATACCATTTCCAGGGGAGCAGCTGGAAAAATCAGGGAACTGAGACGCCAGTTTGGTCACAGGGCCATACCTCAGGGAGTTACTCGACGTAATGGCAAAGAGCAATATGTGCCACCCAGATCACCAAAGTAAAACAAACAAACCAACAAACAAAAACTTCTCTCTCTTCCCATTAAACTTGAGCCGTGGCTATATTGAACTGTTATGGAGGGGAGAGGGTGACCAGGAAGGAAACAAGAGAAAGTATATCCTTAAATCATTACAGATTTTGGAGTTGTGAGCAGTAGAATCCCAAAATTCATCTCTAAAGTGATTTTAAAATGCTGGAGGATTCCAATCAGTATAAATATATATATATATATGTATACATATATAAAAATATACACACAGTGGGGCCTTGACTTACGAGTGTCCCGACTAACGAGTTTTTTTGAGATACCAGCTGTCTCTCTGCCGATTTTTTGCATTGAGTTGATAGAGTAATTTGAGTTAACGAGCTCCTTAACGAGCTCGGTCTCGGAACGAATTAAACTCGTAAGTCAAGGCCCCATTGTGTACACACACACACACACACACACACACACACACACACATAAAAATATAATTTTTCTATTTTTGTTTTTGATTTTAATTTGCAGAGATCTGCCTGGAATCAATTTTGAGGGTTCAGATTTAGCTTGGGGAAAAAACATATTACACATCCTTCAGTATAGGAGATGAGGGAGTGAGAGAAAATATTTTTTGAAGAAGCATTTCTGTAAAAATTAGAAATTACTTTTTTAAATATATTTAAAGTTTGGCTTAGAGAATGCCATCTCTGCCTTTATGGCCTTGTGTTGCAAAGCAGATCAGTGGCTGGGGTGCCTGTTTGGGTGTGTTGTGTGTACAAGAGTGACTGAAGCCAAATCTGTTGTCATGTTAGTAAATGATTTGAAAGCTGAATGTAATAATGTACTTGAGTAGATTATTTTTCCAGTTTGATATGTAGTCTCCTTTTGACCTTACTAATATTTTATTCAACAAGCTTTTGATTGTACTTGGAGATGTGACTACCAATCAATTTGATACTCATGGAAAGAATGGGGGTTATTCAGATAATTGAAAAATCTGTCTTAGATCTGAGTAGGGGTAGATAAAAAGGCCTACAGAGGTTTAAACTGGCCTGTGATTTCCCTCCTCCCCCTAAAATAGGAAATAATTTTTTTGTGTTACTTCATTTTTGCTACTCTCTGTTCTTTGACTACCAACCCCCAGAAGCAAATTTAACTAACCACCTACATAATTGTATGTTTCTAACCACCTTGACCAGTCTAGTCAAATCATACAACTGTTCTAAATTTCTGAATTGAACAGTGAAGTATTTTACTCTTCTGTTCATGTATTTAGAAGTTTAGATCCCAGAATGGTAGAGCAGACTATAATTTATTTGTATTAGTGTTAAAGATGAAACATTGTAATTGACTCTTAAAGTGTTAAATAGTGTAGAAGTAAAAATAATTTTTAAAGGCTTAATTTGGGGGCAACTTTTTCTGTTTACAGTGTATTTATCATAACCTGCCTTTCTTCCCTTTCTCCAAAAAATTAAAATAAAATAAAAAATACAGTTTGAAATTCACAGAAGCAGAGCCAGCAAGTCAGGAGATTTTTGAGTTAAGGTGAAAAAAGGTAGTTGAAGAAAATTATTACATAATATCTCAATGAATCAAGTTGTAGCTCTCATATTAAATAGGCAAGTGTACATGCTGGTGTATGGAAAACGGCTAAAATATTAAAAATCATGTTGGATTAATCTGTTTTAAGTCATACCATTTTCAGAGTTCTATGTAAGGTGGGGTTTTGTTTTTTTAGGGATAGTTTGTAGCAGTAATAACTGTCCTTTATGTTAGTGAATGACTTGTATAAATTGAAACTGTAAATTGTGAACACTGGAAAGCACCATTGTGACATAGAGTAAACATCTTAGTAATATATTAAAATGAATGTAAATGGAGGTTAAAATTACATTACTGTGAAAACTCATCTTCCAACTCTAAGTTAAGCTGTGGAGATTTGTATTAGTAGGTAACTGTTCAGAGCTTTGAAAACACTGCACATTTCTGTACAAGTCAGAGTTATCATTTCTTTGTAACTTATTCAGCTTGGCAATTGCTTTTGATTTGGTTGGTTGATAACATGATATAATACATTTAACTAAGAAGAATCATTTCTACACACTATTTTTAAAAATCATCTAGAACTGAAATCTACAGTTAAACTACCTGTGCTGAAATTTGGGGAAGTTTAGGTTCTTTTTTTAAAAAGTATTAATAATCATTGACTATATCTATGATAAAGTGCTTATTTTGGTTTACTTAGATAATGCTGCAGTTGGTGGAAATGATAAACATTTAAAGTGTTAACACTCTGTGAATGCATTGGATTTAAGAGAATAAACATTTTATAAAATCACTTGGCGAGGATTATAAACTTAATTATTGCACTTGAAACAAAACATTACCTTTTTTACAGTGTGTCACAGAAGTGGGCTTGTATTACTTGTACACTTATGTGACTTATTCCAACTTTTAAAAACTAAGTATTTTAATTGAAACACAAGAGTCTTCTTTTTGAAGAACATGTGTTCTTGCTTTTCCCCAAAATGTTACTAAGAGTAGAAATTTAATTTAAAGACATGACCTTTTAAATTCTCTTGTAAAATATATTGTTTTAATTTAACTTGCCTCATTACAACTAATCCCCATTTTGATGGGATGTATAGGGAAGAATAAATGTGTGTGCGTGTATATATAATATATATATTCACAGTATGTATTTAGCATTTATTTTATTACAGCAGATTTAAGGTTTGTATCTAATGATGCCTACGAATTGTGTGAAACTTGGCCCCCCCTTCCCCCCCAGCATTACTCTAACTGATGAGGGTTGAGCATTCATTATAGTTCAGCTATTTATTTGGTTCTTTTTTAGTTGTAATCCTCACTTGAGGATATGTTTTTCATTGATTTTAGAGAGAGGAAGGGAGAGAGAAACATTGATGTGAGAAAAACATTGATCAGTTGCCTCTTGTATATGTCCTGACTGAGTATCGAACCCGCCACCTTTCAGTTTATGGGAAGATACTCCAACCAACAGAGACACACAGGCCAGGGCTGTTTGGTTTTTTAGAAAGGAATTTAAATACTGATTTTTTTTTTCTTCATCCTTATGGCTTAACACTTCCTTGGGCTGTTGGAAGCTAAAAGTAGATACAAAATGATATTGAGTGTATGGTACAGTGATCTTCTGCCACAGTTCTTACTGCATGAAGAGAAAAAGAGTCACACAAGTTTACCACCTTGCACTTCATAGAGAGGGTATATAGAAATATTGCAAAAACCTATCTCTATTTTCTATCCTGATAATTAAGGTTTTCATGATACCCAGGGCCTGTCTCTAACCTGAGTAACTTCATTTTTGCAAGTATAGACATTGGCATTCAAGAGATTGATCCGTCTAATTTTTTTTCAACTGGATTTTGGAAGAAGATAAAATCTTTCAGTGCTATAGTTTATTGTTGTCATCCTATGTGCTCAGTTTGCATATGATCAAATGACATGCAGGTTTTAAATTTATTTTTGGTTCCTAAAATTAAGGTAGCTTGAATATTGTTTCACATTCCTTTCTCTTTTAAAATAATATTTGCTTTGCAAAAGGCTTAATGATGGAGTATTAGCATCTGCTGGAACAGAAAATAGTATTTAAAAGTTATTAAATAATTCTCTAGCTTTCTTAGTTATGGCCTTAATACTGAATTTTTTGGGGGTAAATGTCCACTGGTTTTACTTTGATCCAGTTGAACACATCGGGGCTAAGTCTCTGATATTTGTGTTGGCCATATTTGTTAACCATATTTTAAAAGAATCCACTTTGTATTTTACAGAAAAGATAAAATGTAAGAGTGGACAGTATATTCCTTTTGAAGGATTTAAAAAAAATTCTTAACTATGTGATGGTGGTTTTTCCCCCCCTAATTTTATGTATTTCCTTACAATTTGGTGGCTATAGAATTTTAACTTTAGGCTTTTAAGTATATGCTAATTTAGCTTGTCTAAGCTTCCAGGAAGTTACATAGACATTTCAGTTTTCATTAGCTAAATGAAGATATTTTAAGAAGTTGAAAGAAAATTTGTTTTCAGGTTGAGAGTAAATTCCCTTTCAAAATTCACCTGATTATTAAATAATTTAAAGTTTTGGTTTTTTTTAAATTGAGAACTTCTTATGAGTTGCTGAGTAGATTGGTTCTTAGAAGTGCAACTCAGATACCAACAAAAGAAAATGGTTTTACTTTCAATTTTCTAGCACAAAACACTGATTAGCATATAGTATAAAGAAACAGCCACATTGCTTTTTTTTTTTTTTTTTCCTGATTCAGGTGTCCCTTGAGTGACATCTCCTAATGTTCGGTTTGTGTTGGGGGGGTCAGAACCAGTTATCTGCCTTCTATTTTGTCCATTGCTTAAGTTTGTTCCTGTTGTCAAAACTGTCCCTCCCACCCCCTAAAAAAATGATGTGACACATGCTAATGCATATATGTTAAAATGAGTACATCTGTATTTGTATTTTTGTTTTCAACATTGCCAAGGTGCTATGGGAAATTAAAGTAACAAAAATTAGGACAAATAAAATTGTTTAAAAGCAAGACTGGTTTTCTTTTCTCCAGGTGGTTTATTTCTAATGACTACTTGTATTTACTTTTCAATAATCTTATATGTTGCCCATTCTCTAGTTCCCTTACAATCCTGGTCTCAGCAGGTTTTGATTTGTTTTGGGGAAGGGGCAGAGGCAAGATATGTGATACTGCATCTGTAAAGTGAGGGCAGAGAGCTATAAGATACAGCTTTATGATCCTGGGGTTTTCTTAAGTTATTTTTGTGTGAGAAACAGTTACTGAAGGGTAAAAAATTACAGGGCAGTGTGCAGTTTAAGGATATGCTTTCATTGGGCTGATAGTATGGTCTGACTTGAGTATGTAAATTCTGGGCTTTTAAAACTTATTTTCAAGAGAAAACCAGTAGGTTCCCTTTACCTTTTCAACTATATCTTTGTTTTGATTGTATCAAATCCTAAAGCTAAAGTTTTTTTTGTTTCATTTTTTAAAGCTGAAGGTTTGATAGATTTTTAAAGGGAAAGTTTACTGGGAAATTTAAATAGGTCTTTAAGCTTTTTAATACCATGATAATGCAAAAATGGAAAAGCTGAGCGAATCTCTAGCTTTTTAACAGATGGTATCTGTAAATTAATGTGACAGCTCAACTTTTATTGAATATAGTTCATCAGTCCACCCTCACCTGCACTTGCACTTTCCATGGTTTAGTTACCC